AGCATGTACAATAATGTAGCAATCCTATTAACAATTTCAATTACCATAATGAATTTTATCAAATCTGTATATAATACAGTTATATATTTTTTTAAGCATGTAAGTTCTAGATGTTACAATCCAATGAAAAGTTAACTAGAAAAAAATCTACGCGAACTAGGTAGCAGACGGGGCTCGAACCAGCACTCTTCACTATCTAGACGAATGTACTGACCGCGTGGAATTATGCTACCACGGCCGATGGCCGTGTCGAATTTTCTCTAGTGTTTCTTAAGCTGCAAGGCAGTCCCGTCCGGTCCGGTCCGCGTGGAATTTTTGAAGTAAAAACTTCTTTAGCGGCGTTGTACATTTTTTTTAATGGGTAAAAAAAAATAAACTCGCGTCATGCATGACACGTCGGCTGATCGCATCACAGGCCACGTGTCCTGATCGTAAGACGAAAACAATAAAATTGGAAAGGTTGTTGACTTTCAATTTATTGGATGAAACATAGTAATATTTTATTTTAACGTATTATAATAATAAGTCTCTATCTAGGACGTCCAGGTGGCAGCTTTACTGTGAAGAAAATACATTTTTTTTTAAATAGATTTCGCTAGGTGCGCGTGGTTTATGTGATTCATGTAAGTTGATATAGAAGTGAAAACTTCTTTAGCGGCGTTGTACACTTTTTTTGTAATGGGTAAAAACTGTTAAACTCGCGTTATGACACGTGGCCTGATCGCATCCGGACACCTGACAATCGTAAATTCGTAAAACGAAAACAATAAAATTGGAAAGGGACTTTCAATATATTGGACGAATCATAGTAATATTTTATTTTATCGTATTATAATAATAAGTATGTATCTAGGAAAATACATTTTTTTTACAATAGATGTTACTGCTAGGTGCGCTTAAATGAGAAATTCTGAGAGATAAACTTTTTAATGACATTTAAATTGTCATGTTTGTATACGATAGCGCAATAAATAAATATTGTACTCTAACACATAAATGATAGTACTTTTTACTGATAATTAAAGAAATTCGTACAAAATTATTCCCTAACGATTCGTAAATATCAAAGATGCACAACGTTAATATTCAAGTTTTCACTTCTGCCGGCACTCTCGGTGTGCAACCCGTCGTTTTTTTCTAGTTAACTTTTCTTTAGATTAAAATCTATTATACATATCTATAAAAAAACAAGTTAGTGACACTACACTATTTTATTTCTCATAAAAGTTTTCGCTTTCACATTATTAGACAATTTACACAGCCTTGCTTTAAATATGTCCTTTTTTATTGAAATTTACTTTCGTTATTGTTACTATCATAATTTAATAATAGTCTAGCGATTATATCCATAAATAATTCATCAAGTTTCAATGATTATTCAAACTGGTACACGATCTAATACGCAAAACCAGTGCTAGGTGAGTCAGAAGATAAAACTAACTCATAAATAAAAGTTTTCCGACAGAATGGGCAGAACACGCACTCAGCTACAAAGATAGATATATTTTTGCCGAAGCAAAGGTCTTAGCCAATCTTGAGGCAACTTATAATACCTCTTTTTTCCGCAACGACCTTATCATGTGTCCGCTTAGCCCCTAAGTTTGACGTAGTGATGAGCCACACTGAATCGATATTCATTATCGAAAGCGGTTATATAGTTACGATTATTTCTATTCGGATTATTGGATTGTTTTTCAGGGCAACGTTAAGTTAATTATACATTTACGAAAATTTACTCACGAAAATGATTACCTCAGAGAACGTAATTCGTCGTTCAAAAACCGAATTCGACCTTAGTTAAAGTTTAACACGACTGACATATGATTTCGTGGTACGATTACAGTTTGATTAGTATCGTTACGAAAATAAATATGCCTTTATCACAGTCAGGTATAACACGATTTTTAAATTGTCGTCACTAAACCCGTGACTTTTCTGTGTTTTTGAGAATAAATAGTTCGGAAACAGCGTCATATCGGTGTTTTCAGGATAGCAATTTTGTTCTTTATTGAATTTAAGGTTAAATTGAGGATTACTTAATTCATTAAGAAATATTCTGATAAAAGTCGCGGTAGCATAGTGGTCAGTGCATCAGCCTAGATAGTGGAGGGTGCGGATTCAGGTCCGGTTTACTGCCTGGACCGCGTGAAGTTTTTCTAGTAAATTTTGATTGTTTTTGATTGTTCTCATTACATTTTTGATTTTGAAGCATTTAACTTCTGGATTTTTAAATAGTATAAAGAAAATTTTACCATAAATAAATCCACCTAAGGAACCTGGAGCGAGTGGTTGTTATTAATATAATATTTATCGTTAGATTTAAATTTTATTCTTGTTTATCGATGTTAAAAAAACAATCTGGGTATCCCAACCCTAAACTTAGTTAGAACTTGGGTAAGTCCGTTTAAGGCTCCCTGGCCTTTGGTCCAACATTATCTCCAGCTTGGAGGTATTAAAAGTTCCATGTAAATGAGAAGGGGTTGGGAGAATCTCGGCGCTTACCATTCTGATAACGTGATACCAACTTCCTCACTTATTCGATTCACTATTAAAAGTTATAATCTTCCGGTAAGAAAGGTATTGAATCACCGGAGGAAAAGGCTTTTGTTCCGAACACATTTTCTTTTCGAAAAAGTTGTACTTGCATGCTATACTTAAACCTTTTTGTTACGAATTAGTCCAGTCATTATATACATTTGGAAATGCAAATGAACCGAGAAAGCCAAATTTTGGATATTACGTGAGGGGTGGCTAGAAAAGCTTAAGTTCAAATGGTCGACCAAAAAAACCTTGTGGGTTTTCCGCCATCTTGAAAAAAGGGTTAAACTCAGTTTTTTTATCATAACTCGGTTCCCCGTCGAGATACGAAAATTTTTATGGAATACTTTTTTGTTGCTCTTTGTACGATCTACAATTAAGGTTCTATACATTTTTCGCGTATCGACCATCGTTATCGAGATATCGATAAAAAAAGCCACAAATTTTGGGAGAAATTTTTTTTTCGCTATTTCCTTCTTTCTCGCGAAAAATATCGAAAAATGTTTCGAATAAAACTTGTAGAGCCTGTTCAGACCTACAAATTCGTTTTTTAATTTTTCATTTTCGAGAAAAATTACGACCTCCAGCGCGCCGCAAAGTGAGTAAGACTGTGCCCGGTTTCGATTTAGCCGCTCGCACGGTTGTATCCACAACGTAAAAAATGATGAATTATTGGTTAAGGGATTTATTGCTATACAAAATAAATGAATAATCCAGCCAAATTATAAATCAAACACATGAAATTTATTAATCAAAAAATGTTTATGCAGCAAAAATAATAATATTACACGTGGTCATTTTTGTCACACGTTTTTCTTCGTTTTGATGGTCCTGGCTGCTGTTGAAGTTCCTCCTCGGTACACTCTTCGAGTCGGGTAAATTCTTCAATCGCAGGAAATGATGCTGTGACGGTCGAAAAATCGTAATCTTCATCATCGTGATCGTCATTGAGTAATATCTCGACTTTGGCGACATTGTCGCATGTCTGTCCACTACAGTGCAGGCAAATAACCGAGCAACTAATTCCTGCTTTCCTGCACCCACAAGCAGCCCCACACTTTCCTTTACCTTTTCACGAAATTAGTTTTAAAAGTTCAGGTGGAGCGGGTGCGGCTGTGGTGCAAATTGGCTCAAGCCCGTAATTCGTCTGTCGCCAACCCCATTCCTGAGGATCTTGAAAAATTCCGAGCCACGTTTGAACTTGTAAATATGTCCGGAAAACGTGTTGGCGGACTGCGTTTTCTGTTGGTGGGAGTAGTGAAAGTTTATTCGTCTTATTTGTCGTCATAGATTTTGCAAAACGGTGGAATCGCAAAATATCCATCGTCGTGTCCTCTTTACGACCACCATACAGAGCGATAAGGAAGAGCTTTCCTGCGCAAGCTAGCATCTCCGGATCGACCTTTTCTTGCTTGAATAGTTCTACCGATGACCGCAGGTTCGGGTTCTTCTCGAGGGTGCTGATGAATTTCGACTTTCCAATATTATAAAAAGACGATGTGGTGTCACAACCGCTGAACGCATGGATGAAAAGAATGTTCTCCAGAACAGACTTATCATGCTTGAAACTATCCGGAGAGTACAGTTTTGCCGGTGTTTTGCCTTTAGCTGGTTTGCGAAGAAAAATATTCTTTTTGTCCTGTGCAAGTCCGCAAATTAAAACCAACAGATCGATATCTTCGCCGACGATTTCCACAGAGTCATGACACGATGCTTCTCTAATTGCTGTGGTTACAATGACGGTGTCAGCATCCTCAAAAGCCTGCTCGACTTTTATTCCGGTATTTGTAAAATAACGGCGAAGCATTTGTATTAAATTGTTTTTATTTTGGTCCCTTGCAAGAAACTTCTCCTGGCTCACTTTCGGAGTGGTAGTTTCATCAAACGTGAACTCTGGTGATTGGTTCTTCCTTGAACGTCGTGCCCTTTCCGAAGTTTTGGTTCCTGCGAGTCTCATGTCAGTCGGATAACCGTCGAATACAATTGTCACACTTTCTCCAAAATGTTGTTGTACGTATGTGACATATTTCTTGCAGATGAGATCAAACGTCTCAATTCGACCCCACACAACTTTGTGCAGAAGGAAACCACCGTCGATTACGTAATGATGTCTGTCACCAAGTTGTACATTTTCTGTCAATGGTTCAAAGGCATTGTATAACAGCGACTTTGTTCCTTTTCGCATTCCTTCTTCGGTGAACAATGACAATGGGAACGGAGCGAGCTCGTATGCTAGAAATTTTTTCAGGTCAGTCTCGGAATTCTTCGTTATGCACATTCTTTGAAAAAGCAACAATGGATCGATCGGAACTGGTGACTCGTCGATTGTAATGCTGGTATTTACTGCCGATAAAGAGAGCACTTTATCCTTCCTTCTGCATTCAGAAGGAAGGATAAAGTGCTCTCTTAAATCGCTAAAATCATACTCTAAAATCATAGGAGCGAATTTTGGGTCTTTGTCATTACAAAGACCCAAAATTCGCTCCTATGATTTTAGTCATCATGTCGCGACCAATTTCGTATGCACGATGACAATTTATGTTCTCGTTTGCCATAACTCCTGTGCCGATGGACATCAATTCTTTTTTCTCTGGGAACGGATTATGACTTGCGAGCCACATGTCCAATTTCTCAACGTCACAATTGTCTCGAGCAATTCGCGAGGGTCTCATGTCGACGTGCTGTTCGGTTGTAGAGCAAGATACTCCGGAAAAATTTTCAATTTGTTCGCAAATGTTTTGAAGTTGAACCATGCCCAAAGTCCACGATGCTATTGTGCTGTCTGTAATTCCTCGTCCCTGAGTCAGTCCTCCTGTTGTCTTCATGGATCGCATAAGAGTCTGCTCTATCGTCATGTCTGACATAATTCCAGACCAAAATTTTTCCGAGCGACGAATCGTAAAATAGCCACGTCTAGTGAACTTGACATAATCGTCGATGGGTATTTGTTCACTCAGAGCTCGCATATCTTGTAGGTATAAATGAGCAGACTTTGCATACAGGAAGTGACCGCTGGCATGAAAGAAAGGAAGCATTTTTTGTATCGTATCGAGATGAAGTTCCCAATTACCGGATCTTTCTGCTTCCAGGAAGTTCTTCACTAGAGAAACCATACGATGGTACTGTATCCATAGCTTTGCCGTAGGTCCTCTGCTCTCGATGGCTACCAATCCTTTTGCGAATTTGTCGTGTATGCTTTTCACTCCATTGTTGTCAGCGGCAGTCATGATGGTAGGTCGATTGAAAAGATCTTCCGCATAGTAATCTAGTTCATCACGTTCTTTTTCGTCTAATTCCAGCGAGTCCAGTACAATTTTTGTCAAGGCTGCGTGTGACAAAATGTGAGCGCGAACAGCCCTCGCATATGCATGACCGGCGAGAATTTTTTCGACACAATTTTCTGCATAAATGAGCTTGAAAAGCTCTTCAATCCCACTACCGGACATAATCGTGCCAATTGATCCCATAAACGACATCAGAAGATGAAATCCACCAAGTCTCACTATGACGTTTTTTAAATCAGATGTTGGGTCAGCAGCTCCCACGATGTCGCGAGCTTTCCAGTACAGCGGTTGATCAAATGTGATGAAGGTGGTTTTTTGATTGCAACGCTTTGAATTCTCGACAGCTTCAAGAAGCGATGTGAGAATCGTGTCATAATTCGATGGCGGTGCGTTGATAAACGGAAGACAGATAACTTTTGAGCGTTCATAGTGCATATTGGCTGTTATACTCTCCATAAATCCATTCCATCCTGGAATTCCAACAGAGCAACTCCATTTTCCGTAAAGCCAAATTAAATCTGGTATCGTTGGTAAAATGTCGCCCGAAAGTTGACGAAGAGCTTCGACATCGGCAACAGTTATAGCCTCTAAGCCCGCCGATTTATGTTTATTGTAAGAGAGTACAGGAACCATGCCCAATTGTGCAACTTCTGAAGCTGATTTTATTTCAACAATACGCGGAATTTTTTTCTCACGCTGGATAGCTGTGAAGGGAGTCACGCAATGGATTCCTCCCATTGCATGGAACGTTCCATGACCGTCAAGGGTGTTGATGTTAAAATCCGCATTGTCAAATACGAATTGACTGAACGAATTTTCCAGAATTTCACTTTCAGCTCGATGAATGCATGAATTCTCGAAAATTGTTATTTCTCGATACGGTGCACTGAATCCCATTGCTGATAATATGTTGATGAGACTCTTTGAACCGAATTTCTTGTAAAGAAAAGTCCCGACACCCAATTGCAGCGGAGAGAAAAACGAACGAGGACGTACGGCTGTTATTATGGAGTGAGCTATCGCTGTACATTTTTTTTTCCATTGCTCCAATGCACCACGTTTATCTTTTATTATCATTGTGGCAAGAAAAACTTGTAACGATTCAGGAACAGCGGCTTCGACATTTTTCACGAATTCATCCGATGGGGGGTAATTGTTTTTATCGTAAACGACACCTCTAATGTCCTCACGAATTATCGCAGCAGCTTCCGCGAATAACTCTTAATCTTTCTTCGTGATAATCCTATTTTTTTTCTTCGTACCATTTCTCCGAAAGAATTTTAAAGCCGGTGTTTCGGAAGCACACCACGCAATCACGCCCTTGTTTTTCTATTATCAGAATGTAGTCTCCATACTTCTCTTGCAAGTGTTTTTTAACAGTTCTGATGTCCGGAACGAAATCTCCATTTATTTGGCGCATTAACTCGCTAATAGAAAATTGACATTCGTCGGAATTTTCTCTCAGAAAGGATTAAATTGCCTCCATCGCCTCGTCTACTTTGTCCCCCGTAGGTCGTCCTTTCTTATTCCTCTCCTCAGGTAGTGCATGATATACGTGAGAAATACACGTTCTATGGTATCGAGCTCCTACTGCGACGAGATCAGGTATACCATGAATACACTCGATGATGGAAGTGGCAAATTCATCGTCACGTCCAGACAAGTATCCCATAATTTTTTCATTCATTGATATTTCTACCACGGAATGAATTTTTTTCCGTCTGTGCACTGGGAGTCTTGATTCGTCGCAAAATATTTCTCCACAAAATAAGCATCGATTTTTAAAATCAAAAGTGGGAACGACTTGTAGTTGTTCATCGGGTTCTAGTTCCTGCGATGGAGACTCGCTTCGTCGAGAAGCAATGGACGCTAGGCGTTGGTTGCCATATTTTTTGTAGCACGAACTATGAACACTCACGGAATCAAGATCTTGTAAAATCTGCTGATGATCCACACGTCCTCTTTTCACGCTCGCCGCTAAAAGAGTCTGTACAGCTCTCTTTTTAGCCACATAAACATTTTCAATGAGAGGTTTTTTGCATATAAAACAATCACCCATTTTCACACAAATTTTTCAACACGTACGCTCGCTTCAAAAGACTCGAGACAACTGACTGGAATGTTCTACGAGAAGGAGCAGATGTTCTGGCACGTACGCCAAAAAAGGGTCTTTTATACCTGGAGCTCTACTCTCTTTCTCCGCAAAGAAATTTCGACAACGAACGAATTTTAAACGAAATTTCGCCAGTGACTCTACTCTATTTCATCTTCGAACACGCACATAAAGTTCGGAATCACAGACAATTATCGTGAACGAATGGAATGAGTTATGTTTGTGAGTTCTTTTCATCTACACTTTTTAGATAACGTCTTTTACTTCAAAACAATATTAGTTTATGACAACATTTTTGATTACATTAAAACAACCTCTTTTGACATTATTAGCCGACTAATTTGTAGAGTTGATGCAAGCGAATGTTTGTCAACCTAAATTTGTCGTGTAACACTTTGAAGTATTGGCAATACAATAATAATCAAAAATTAGATTTATTTGTAAATTTTTCTTACTAAAAAATGTTTCTCACGCTAAGCAGCCTTAATTAAAAATACTCTAGTAATTTTAGGTTTAATTTAAACAAAAATCCCAAAACGAAAATGAAAAGGTAACACTGTTCATTTCGTCAATTTGAGGTTAAAATTTCGAACAATTATCGTGTTAAAAGTTTTGTGAATTAGAGTAGGCTTAGAGAATTTAAACGTCAAACTATTTTCGGACGAACGAATTTTCGAAATGAAATAGAAACAGAGTAAGGAACGTGCGATATTTCGATCGAAATTTCGTTTTTCGTTGAAATAGAGTAGGCCTCCTGACCCATGCCGACACTCCAACCGTCGCACGTCCGCCATGGCGCGACGCACATTCCGGCGTCGGGCGCATTGGCGCCGACTTTGCGGCGCGCTGGAGGTCGTAATTTTTCTCGAAAATGAAAAATTAAAAAACGAATTTGTAGGTCTGAACAGGCTCTACAAGTTTTATTCGAAACATTTTTCGGTATTTTTCGTGAGAAAGAAGCAAATAGCGAAAGAAAAAAATTCTCCCAAAATTTGTGGCTTTTTTTATCAATATCTCGACAACGATGGTCGATACGTGAAAAATGTATAGGACCTTAATTGTAGATCGTACAAAGAGTAACAAAAAAGTATTCTATAAAAATTTTCGTATCTCGACGGCGAACCGAGTTATGATAAAAAAACTGAGTTTAACCCTTTTGACGTGACGTCTTAAATTAGGTTGCGGCTGGGAGTCACTTATGAAAAAGTGTAACGCTCGGTAACGTTACGATGAGTCTCTCGTGTTAAGTTTAAGTTTACATGTACAATGTTTTAGTAAACAAAATATATTTCTATAGTTAAAATTTGTGCAATTCTTATTTTCATTCAATTCCTTGTTCCTATTGTGCAATTTAATTATATTCATATCAATAAATATTCTACCGAGAAAAAGACGTTGTCACGTAAAATCTTCGCCCGTAAAACCGACTTTACAGGCAACCATTTTTTTTTTTTCAAGATGGCGGAAAACCCACAAGGTTTTTTTGGTCGACAATTTGAACTTAAGCTTTTCTAGCCACCCCCCACGTAATATCCAAAATTTGGCTTTCTCGGTTCATTTTCATTTCTAACCCGATTTTTCCGACGTAATGACTGGACTAAATATTTTCAAATCCAAAACGTCTGGAGAAGTACCTTACCTTAAATCTAAAGAAAAGTTTACTAGAAAAAAATCCACGCGGACCAGGCAGCGGACGGGACTCGAACCCGCACCCTTCGCAATCCGGGCGAAAGCACTGACCATTATGCTACCACGGCCCTATTCGCCGCGTCGAAATTTTCCTAGCCTTAAGCTGCAAGGCAGCGCCATCTCTTCGCATTGTAGGTAACCCACAATGTCAAATGAATACTTTTTCAAGTATTAAACATTTGAAAGAAGAATTAGCAATTATGGTTTTGTTTTTATTTATTTTTAAGCATTTAACTGCTAGATATTTAAATCTAAAGAAAAGGATTGCGAAGGGTGCGGGTTCGAGTCCCGTCCGCTGCCTGGTCCGCGGGGATTTTTTTTTCTAGTAAACTTTTCTTTAGATTTAAACATCTAGCAGTTAAATGCTTAAAAATAAATAAAATCAAAACTACCTTACCTTAACTTTACGAAAGATCACAGTAAAATAACACTACCTCTTCGTGATGCTGTTTTTTTTCGGTGAGTTGTACTCTCAAAAACTAAACCACCAAAAATTAGGAAATGGTTCTTCTTCCTTAACTTTGTAATCTCAAGTACGTTTAAACTTTAAGTAAAATAAATTAACATTAATAACGATTTAAGTTACAAATCTGGAAATAATGATATCCCAACACAGAAATATAAATAAAGATCCAAACAAATATGAGATGATTTTTTTTAAGCCTGTAACTGCTAGATGTTTAAATCTAAAGAAAATGCACTGACCATTATGCTACATTATCGCACGTGACCGAAAACACTCAGTTCCGGTCAAAGTGACATACGAGTAAGTTGTACCTTTCGACGTTTAAATAATAATAATTTATTTCAGATACTAGATCCATAGAAATGTTAGTAACAATCAAACCTTAAAAACTATGTTAGTACATTTTAATAACAAAGTTATTTCATATATATACCTTCTGAGGCACCGGTCACATGAACATGTGTATGTACCCAGTGCCTCAGAATGGCACACTCCGGTTTTTTTGCGATAACATCGAGAATACTGTTGGCGCTCCCACGAACCCTGTGCATCAACGATGCAATTCTCTTGCGCATCACTGAAGGGAAGTCGTCTAAGTGGGCATCTGCGAACATACCCGATGCACTACAGTAGCGTGGGAGCCCCAACAACATCCTCAATCCATTATTATTTTGGATAAATGATAGCAAAAGAAAAATATTTCGTTTTTACTGAAATGCCCAACAGAATGATAATTATAACCACTTTGTATGGAGTCCACAAATACTAATTGATGACGCAACATTGTTTTCAATAAGTTGTCAAATAGGTATTACAAACCTCTTTATGATACACTTGTGTCCATGGTCCCATATGTTTATATGCGGTCCTATTAGTATTTGGAGATGTTATCAATAACAATTGACACTAAATTAACTTGTCTGTCCATCTGTGAACTATCTCGGGAACATCGGGTAGGCACTGCATTAACTTATCAGTTCAGTCGCCAAGAGATAATACCATATGTATATGACCTAGATTAGATTATAACAGTGTTACGCAATAATGTTATGTGTTAGGCGGCTTTACAGCATATTGGTCAGATTTAGCCAACAATTAATGAAATGAATGAATGATTTTTTTTATTTTTCTCTCGAAATTCACAAAGTAACATTATAATTACACATTGAATAGGGATGATGACTATTTTTTTTTTCTTCGTTTATCAGGTAGAATATCAAAAAGTATTGCACACGTATTTTTTTCTTTTTTCACATAATATAAACATTGCAGAGATATATTGATTTGAAAAGTCGCATGACGTCACGTTTGAATACACTTATAAAGGAAATTTCACTCAAAAGTGACGTCACGAGCCCCTACTCCCAAACTTTGACGTGCTATAACTTTGTCATTTTTTGGTTGATTGCCCAAAGAAAAAATACGTGTCCATTATTTTTTGATCATCTAACTGACGGACTTAATAGAATTTCGTTAACTGTACCCCGTCATCACCCCTATTACAATAACGGTAAAACAATGCAGTTCTTTGAGAGAGCTGGAGATTGTACTAGGTTACAAAACCTGTGTTACGACCCCCAGGCTCAAAACCTCTTAAAACCCGTTTGCTTGCTAATAGATTCTTTTGCA